AGTATCTTGGGGAGAGGCTCCAGCAGCTACCCTGCAATTTTGGAGCCTCTCCCTCAAACTCCCTCTCCTCCAGCCCCCAGAATATACCCTATGTTTTCGCCATTGACTTCAATGGCCTATAGGATATAATGGGGCCGAAATTGACATTCAGCTGGCCCTTTTTCCGGCCCGGCACTCTGGCGCGGAGCCTAAAAAGGGTGGGGAGGGCAGCTCAGCAGTCCCCCCACCCCCCACAGTGGTTGCAGGGGCGGCCATAACTTTTTAAAGAGCCCCTAAGGACAGCTGGGGAGCCAGAATGACCTCTTGCGCGGGAGGTAGAATTTGCCCTACGACTCCAAGGCCACCACCCCGGGGCTCAGGGAGGCAAGGGAACATTTCACCCCGCCCCCGCGGGCATCGCAGCTTCCACCGAGAACAGCAGTAGCGGCCATAACTTTTTAAAGAGCCCCTAAGGACAGCTGGGGAGCCAGAATGACCTCTTGCGCGGGAGGTAGAATTTGCCCTACGACTCCAAGGCCACCACCCCGGGGCTCAGGGAGGCAAGGGAACATTTCACCCCGCCCCCGCGGGCATCGCAGCTTCCACCGAGAACAGCAGTAGCGGCCATAACTTTTTAAAGAGCCCCTAACGAGAGCTGGGGGAGCCAGAATGACCTCTCACGCGAAAGGTGGAATTTGCCCCATGAGTCCAAGGCCACCACCCCGGAGGAGGGAGAATGTTTTGCCCCCCTGCCCCCCCCCCCATGGGAGCACATGCCTGCCTTTCCAAAGGAGCCCGGCTGTCTTCGGAGGAAGTAGCTGGGCGAGAAGGGGCAGCGGACTCAGCTCGGAGATCTCGGGCTGGCTCCATGGAGCCAGGAGGCGGGAGCATCTGAGAGTTCGGAAGAAAGCCCAGTGCTTTCTTCAGAGGAGGGTGCTGGGGGGGATGAAGGGACTAAAGGAGGCACTGCTCGGAAACCTTGGAGGCTCTCCACCGATCCCCCGGCTTTTGGTGGGGCAGGGCCGAGTGCAGTTAGGGGCCCTAGACCCAGCCAGTCAGTGCCAAAGGGTTAGTGCCAAACTGCACCCGGCCCCGCCAAAAGCCCTGTATCTCTCTGACCACCCCCGTCGCCTCTCCCCGAGTGAGAAAGAGGCGGCAGCAGTCAGGGAGATACAGGGCTTTTGGCGGGGGGGAGCCAGTTTGGCGCCCTTAGGGCCGGCCCGCGCTCTAGGTGAATGCCTAGTTCGCCTAGCGGGTGAGCCGGCCCTGCTTGCACTAGATGCCCCATTCAAACAGTGCCTGTCTTGTTGCAACTTTTAAGATCTGGTCAGTCTTTCTCTCTAGTAGTGATAGAAATAAATACTGGGTATATCTCCTTTTGCTTCTGTTGGAGAAATTTAGCAGAGTGTTTAAAGTGCGGTAGAATGAATGCAGCTGAATTTACTAGAAAATTAGGGAAGGGTTAAATGGAAGGTGCACAGCTACCAACAGTTCCTGACAGTTCCATTCATTCGCAAGAAAGAACAAGGAGAAAAAATGCTTATACAAATAATAAAATCAATATTGGACACATACCTGTTTCTCTATGAAAACATTAATTCTCTGAAGCATCCCTTCACATGTGAACTCATAGGGTAAGTAAGGTTCAATCTGTTAAATAAAAATGCTTCCATTTTAGTTATGCTTTAAAAATAGATATTTCATCCAAATTATAATTGCGCTACAAGTTTGGACAAGGGCTTGTACACTGAATATACTGACACCTTTGAATGTGTCCTATCAAGTGTCCTTGTTAACAAGGCACGGTTTCATTTATCCATTCATTCTGGATATTTCTGCTTCCATAACTGCTTCCAAACTGTTAAGCAACTTTCACAGCTGTAGCATTTCCAATCTAATGTGCTCTGTGCTACCATCTATTCATAGCAGTTTGTCTTTAGATTTTAGGTTGGGTCAGAAGAATGGTGAACTCTGCTCACAGAAGAGATCTTCCCAGCTCCTTCCTCCATTCTTCAATGCTGCTTTGTTGGGAACAACATGGGCTATGGTGCAGGGAGCCAGAGTTCAAAGGGAAAATTGCAGATCCCCCTCCCTTGCATGAACTGAAGTGTTCTCCACTCACATAAAAGCTACTTTGGATACAAACCAGTGATTACAAACAGACAGGTTTTAACCTTTTGGTTCAAAATGGCTCTGACCGCCCTTTCAACTTCAGAAAGATCATTGATGTTCACAGTCCAGACATGAGGCTTTCCAATGTAAACTTCAGCGTAGGGATGTTGAGATGTTAACTGAAATTAAAAAACAAACTCACAATCAACTGTCAGATATGGTTGAACATCATAATATTCCTGCTTCCATAGGGAAACTTCACAATTATGTAGTGTGTTGACAGATTAGTATTTCTCCATTTAAACAATTTTTGTTTAGTAATTTTACCCACTGTCTTCTTAGGGATGCCAGCCTCCAGGTGGGACCTGGGAATTCCCCAGAATTACAGATCATCTCCAAACTACAGTTCCCATTAAAAACATGGATGCTTTGGAGGGTGGACTATATGGAACTGCACCCAACTGAGGTCCCTGTCCTCCCCAACCCCCATTCCCAAATCTCCAAGAGTTTCCCACTCATATGGCTTGAGGATGGGAGTCGAAGCGACGCCAGGCCCGGCCGTGTCGCTGTTTCCCATGGTTGCCCTTTGCCATTAAGTTAAGAAGTTAATAATTTAATAAAGTGGCCTTATTTCATCCAACCTTGTTGTCTGACTATTTCTTCCGTCTGGGGGGGCAATGCTGCTTTGTTGGGAACAACATGGGCTATGGTGCAGGGAGCTAGAATTCAAAGGGAAAATTGCAGATCCCCCCTCCCTTGCATGAACTGAACTGTTCTCCACTCACATAAAATCTACTTTGGATACAAACCAGTGATTACAAACAGACAGGTTTTAACCTTTTGGTTCAAAATGGCTCTGACCGCCCTTTCAACTTCAGAAAGATCATTGATGTTCACAGTCCAGACATGAGGCTTTCCAATGTAAACTTCAGCGTAGGGATGTTGAGATGTTAACTGAAATTAAAAAACAAACTCACAATCAACTGTCAGATATGGTTGAACATCATAATATTCCTGCTTCCATAGGGAAACTTCACAATTATGTAGTGTGTTGACAGATTAGTATTTCTCCATTTAAACAATTTTTGTTTAGTAATTTTACCCACTGTCTTCTTAGGGATGCCAGCCTCCAGGTGGGACCTGGGAATTCCCCAGAATTACAGATCATCTCCAAACTACAGTTCCCATTAAAAACATGGATGCTTTGGAGGGTGGACTATATGGAACAGCACCCAACTGAGGTCCCTGTCCTCTCCAACCCCCATTCCCAAATCTCCAAGAGTTTCCCAACCTGGATCTGGCAACCCTATGTCTTGTTTACCAAGAACTAGATACGAATGCCTACAAAACCCTATTCCTCCAAAATGCACAGCCAAAGGTGGATTCCTCCCTAGCTACACTGCTTATTGGACCAATTCCAGCCTGTGGAACTTCTGATGAGCTGTTGAATCAGGTTCACAGTCCGGAGAGGCGAGATCCCCCCCAGTTTTTCCTTTTTTAAAATAAACTTTTTAATAAGATTTTCATATGTGAAAATAAAACTATGGGGAAAATACAGAAAAATGGGGGGAGGGGAGCAAAAGGACTGGAGGAACATATCCTTAAAGAATTTACAAAAATTTCTCCACAACAAAGCCAAATACAATAATTTAATACTAAATCTTTGATCTAAAATCTAAACATAACCACAAACTTTAATATTATCAGCAATACACCAAAACATATATTTATTATTTAAAATTCTCCTTATCTCCCTAGCTACACTGCTTATTGGACCAAATCTAGCCTGTGGAACTTCTGATGAGCTGCTGAATCAGGTTCACAGTCCGGGGAGGAGAGATCCCCCCAGTTTTTTCCTTTTTTAAAATAAATTTTTTGTTAAGATTTTCATATGTGAAAATAAAACTGAGAGGAAAATACAGAAAAATGGGGGGAAGGGAGCAAAAGAAAAAGGACTAGAGGAACATATCCTTAATTTTGTTCCCCAGATGTAGATTTCAGGGCACTGTCTATACCAGCCTGGCACTAGAACCAGCTTACTTTGTTTTCTCAGACAGAAAAGTGTCCTCCCTGGCAATGTTGCAGCAGCCAGTGTAGTGAGAATGGTTAAGCTGTCATCAGATATTTTTAACTGATCTGTTTTAAATGAATTGGTTATTGTTTTTATGAATTATTATTTATTGTTTCACTATATGTTGTGAGCCTCCCTGACCCTGCTTGTGGGGTAGGGTGGGATACAAATGGAATACAAAACATATATTCTTCTCTATTATTTAAAATTCTCCTTACTCATCAAATCTGCAAATCATCAAATCATTTTTCATTTGCATGCAGAAAGCCAATAAGGAGCTTCCAAGTAGCAATAAAAGTAAATAATGTCTTTTCCTTAACCAAATAAGGAAGTTTGGCCATTTCCACAAGTTCCAACATCTTTAACCACCATTCTTCTACTGTAGGTATTTTTGTAGATTTCCAGTTGTGTGCATAAAGTAACCTTGCTGCTGTAATAATATACAAAAACAAAGCTCCATGCCTATCTTCAAGCTGACTGTCTATCAGTCCTAACAGAAAAGCTCCTGGATTCATTTGTATGTTAATTTTTAAAATCTTCTGTATTATTGAATGTATTTGTATCCAAAATTCTTAGGCTTATTACAAGTCTACCACATGTGATAAAATGTCCCTTCATGCTGATTGAATGTATTTGTATCCAAAATTCTTAGCTTTATTACAAGTCTACCACTTGTGATAAAATGTCCCTTCATGCTGCTCAGATTTCCAACATTTGTTTGAAGTATTCTTTATACATTTTAGCCAATTTATCTGGGGACATATACCAGTGAATCATCATTTTGTAAAAGTTTTCTTTACACTTAATGTAAATTTCAAACCCTTCTGCCACATTCTTTCTCATTGTTCCATTTGTATATCATGTCCAACATTCTTAGCCCATTTTACCATACAATCTTTTACTTGTTCTTCTGTTTCATATTTCGACAAAGGTTTATACATTTTACCAATAACATGAACATCATTTGTACATATCTTTGTTTAAAATACAGTCTTATTTTCTTTGAAATCATAAAGTTGTTTATCTAATTTAAACCTTTCTAATAATTTTGCATAGAAAACCACTGGCAATTATATCCTTTTATCAGGTCTTCCCTTGATTTCATCTTACAGTCAAAACTAACAAATCATGATAGGTTAACCATTCATGTTTAGTTATCATTTCTCACCTGTAAAATGCTTCTTGGGTTGAGAGCCACAATGGTGTTTTTGGACATAACCTAGATTTATATTTATTCCACATCCTCAACAATGCATGTCTAACATGATTATTTTTAAAGTGTATATTTACTAATTCTTTTGTACCAGATGTAGCCATGCCACCCATATCTCAGATCATGTCCCTTCAACTCTAATAACCTTCTATTTCTCAACAATAACCATTCTTTCAACCAAACCAGACAACAGACAGAAAAATCTAATTTCAAATCAGGTAAACCCAGTCATCCTTTTTCCTTAGCATCCTGCAAAATCTTAGATTTAATATGTGTTTTTTCCCCTTGAGTTTTTCTGACAGTTGGTGCCTGGTGGGTGATTGGAATGGAGTGGTCACCCACAGATAGATAAATTGTTTGAAAAGAACATTAAAATTGCCCAGGAAAAACTTCCAAAGCTTTTTTTTTATTTAATGGAAAAGTTTAGGCTTAGTGGACATTTGGAGGCAGTTAAATGGTACTTCAAAAGAATATATTTATTTCTCAGAAAGACATACACCATTTTCAAGGACAGATATGTTTTGTATTTCTAAAGACTTAGCTACAAAGGTTACTAAAGCTGCGGTTTTACCAAAGAGCTTCTCAGACCATAACCCAGTAAGTCTGGTATTTAAAAGAAAACCTTGTGTGTTTTGAAGGAGATTAAATTAAGTCTTTTTGTAAAAATACGTAATTGTTGATGGATGTAAAAAAAAACCCTGAAAGAATTTAAGTTTAATCTCAATAAAGGTACAGATGTGAGAATGGTTTGGGATGCAAGTAAAGCCTTTATGAGAGTACAATTTATACAATATAATGCTGAATGGGGGGGGGAGTCAAGAGAAAACACAAGATTTTAGATGAAATAAAAGGAGGATGAATTGAAAAAAATCTCCAAGGAATACTAATATTTCTTGACAAACAAAATTTTTACAACAGCTTTCTACGGTGATAAGACAAATGGAAGTAAAACTGAATTCTGTAAAACAAAGACATTTTGAACATGCAAACAAACTAGGTAAATGGTTGGCATATAGACTGAGAAAAGAAAATGATATGGAAAGTACAATAAGGCAATAAATTATACATGGAGCAGGTGGGTATTAAAATATTTTAAATTATTATTTTAATTTGTGCCACTGTGAAATAGGTGATTATCTTAAAAAACAAAATTTACCTCAAACAGAAGAACAAAGATCTATTATGAATGGCCCTATAACAATGAGGAAAGTGGTAGAAGCCATAAAGAAAATTAAATTAGGAAATTTACCAGGGCCAGATGGCTTATCACGACTGTATTATAACCACTACAGACTACAGTGAACTTTATTTTAGTAACTGGAAAGATGCCATAATCTTGGAAAGAGGCTAATATAACATTAACAAGTGGAGACCTGCAAGAAACGTACGGGATGGTCATCCCATTCCTCACACCTTTGCTTCCTCCCCTCTCCCCCTACCTGTCTCACATTCTTTCTCCCTTCTGCCCCCCCTTACTCTTTATCTCTCCTCCATGCATGCTACTTCCTCTCTCTTTCTGCCCCCACCACTCTTCTAGCCTCTTGCCTGCTTCCTCCCCCGCCCCTCACACAGCAGCAACAGCAGTGGTGGCGGTACTCCCAGCCACCCACCTGCTTCCTTTCTCCTCATAGCAGCACTGGAAGCACTCTTGGAATCACAACGGATATCCCAGCTACAGAGATCGATTCATCTTAGGGCTCCTAGCGCCAGGTTGGGTAATCCCTGGATATCTGGGGGTGGAGCCTTGGGACAGTGAGGCTTGGGGAGGCAAGCAGCCTCAGTACGGTGTAATGCCATAGACTCAACCCTCCAAAGCATCCATTTTATCCAGGGGAACTGATCTCTGTAAAACAGTTGTAATTCTGGGTGATCTCCAGCCCTCACCTGGAGGCTGACAATAGTAGTTCTTGTGGAGGAAATGGCAGGTTTGGAGGGTAGAGTCTGGCATTATACTAGTCTGAAGTTCCTCCCATCCTCAAACCCCACCCTCCCCAGGCTCCACCCCTCAAATGTCCAGGAATTTCCCAACCTAGAGGTGGCAGCCCTATTTCCTTTCCACCCAACAGCCTTTATCTGTCTTCAACTTTCCATCTCGACCCCCCTCCCCCACAGCCTCTACCTAGGAAAATTATAGTCTTTCTCCACAGTGGGGACCAAAGCAGCTTACATTATTCTTGCCTCCTTTTTATCTGCACAGCAACCCTGTGAGGTTGGTTAGGCTGAAAGTATGTGAATGGTCCAAAATCACCCAGTCAGCTTTCACTGCAAGACGGGGATCTGAACCCGGGTCTCGCAGACCCTACTCTGAAGCTCTAACTGCTGCACCACACTGGCTTTCATAGGGTGGCTGCTGATGAACAGTAACAAGCAGCCGGGCCTAGATGAGTCCCTTCAAGTCATGTGAATCAGATGGCATCAAGTCACCTGGAGGGTGCTGCCTAAGGATGCCAGCCTCCAGGTGGGATCTGGGGATCCCCTGGAATTCCTGCTCAGGTCCAGACTACTGAGATAACTTCCTGTGGAGAAACTGGATGCTTTGGAGGGTGGACTCTAGGACATTGTACCCCACTGAGGCCCCTGTTCTCCCCCGGGTCCACTCCCAAATCTCCAGGAGTTTTCCAGCCTGGATCTGGCAACCTTCCCCTCATCCCCTGCTAGTGCCCAGGGGGGACCTGGCAATCCTAGACTGCTGCAAGGCCTAGGGTTGGCAACCTCCAAGTGGGGCCTGGCCAATGAACTCTAGACAGCAGAGATCTGTCTTCCTGGAGAAAATAGCTGCTTAGAGGGTGCATTATACCCAGCTGAGCCTCTCCCTTCCCCAAATCCTGTCCTCTAGAGTGTCTACCACAAAACCTCTAGGACTTCCCCAGCCTGGCACTAGCAACTCTTGTCAGGCCTGGCCCCAAGTCTCTCTCCTTCCCTCAAAGGCCAAAAGAGGCCTGGAAATGGCCTTTCCCCCACCCTTTTACTGACAGAGTCAATTAGAAGTCTCCCCCCCCCCAACATTCTAATCTCTCACCATTGAGGCCTGGAGTTATATCCCTACAGGTTTTGGAGGGAATTCAACCTTCCCTGAAGGTTTCCCCCACACTTTTTGGATTTTTCTGCAACATCAGGAAGGCCGTTGAGTCTTTAGAAAGAGCTGTTGGGGGAGAGTGAGCCCTCTGTTGGCAGAAATAAGTATCCACATTAAAAACCCTGGGAAATAGTATAAAGATACCAAAAGAGGGACAAAAATTATAGACTGATATCATTATTGAATAATGATTATAACCTATTTATAATGATCTTTCCAGAAAAGATAATTTTACAAGGACTTATTCATTAAGACCGGTGTTGTTTTTTTACCTAAGAGACAGTTAAAAGATAACGTGAGAATGGTATTAGACAATTTGGAATATTTAGAAAAACATAATGAAAAAACAAGCAGCATAGATTTTTCTAGACAGTGAAAAAGCATTTGAGAATTTGAACTGGACTTTTTTGGTTAAGTTTTTTGAAGAAATGAACTTTGGAGACAACTTCATGAAATGGGTGAAGTCAATTTATATATCACAGACAGCTCGAATAATTGTAAATGGATAACTGACTAAACCATGCAAGATTAAAAAAGGAACAAGACAAGGTTGTCCATTATTGCCTCTCCTATTCATCTTAGTACTTGAAATTTTAAATAAAGATATTAGACAGGATGAGAGGATTGGTGGTATCAAGGTTGAAAAAGAGACCTTTAAGCTAATACCTTCTGCTGATGATCTGGTACTAACTTTAGAGGATCCCAAGGCTTGAAGGGAATTGAAGTTTTAATGTCTAAGCTAAAAGAATTCAATATATTAACAGGGTTCAAAATAAACAAAGAGAAAATGAAAATGTTAACCAAAAATATGAAAACACAAGAGCAAAGAGAACTGATGAATAAAACTGGTTTTAAAGTTGAAAAAAGTTAAACCTTTGGGTATTATGTTGTTGACAAATATGAACTGTATGTTATTACAAAATAATTATGTTAAAACTTGGAATGAAGTTAAAAAAGATTTTTTTAAAGATGGGACAAACTAACAACTGTCAGTGTTAGGAAGAATATTTGTGATTAAAATGAATGTTTTACCAAGGATGTTTTTCCTGTTCCAAACAATTCTGGTGTTGACATCTGATGTATTATTTAAAGAATAGTAAAAAGATATACCGAAGTTTGTTTGGCAAGGGATTGTACTTTCTTTTCAAACCAAGTGAATGGGAAGATATGACCATTCATTATAATACAACAGAGACACCAGGGGAATTTCAACCTTCAGTCTGTCATCTCAGGACACCAGGACGGAACAACAAGCTTCCATATTTCAGACTGATGTTCAAAACATTTTTTTTAGAAAAGTTGCGCAACGGAACTTATTGTTGCTGTTCATATAATGAATACACAGCAAATACAACCAAAAATATATACGCAATTCTAATAATAGGAATGATAAATGCCAGCATTAATGGCTTACCTCACGCAGGGTTGGTTTACCTCTAAAGAAGTCAGTGTTTTTGCTGCTTTTGGGAGGACTGAATTTTGGATTCAGAAAAGCACACCCATTTGCAATGGCCTCTAAGGGAGCAGGTCCCTCATATGGAAAGCCAAGACCAACAAAAAGCTGCAAAACATAAACATTTATATCAATAGCCTCTCCTTTACTGCTGTCCTGTCAAGAACAGCAATGTGGAAGTCAGCCTAAAATAAATTTTTAAAACATACACACTTAGAAACAGAATTAATATAATTCTCAAAGATTACCTTTTAAAAAACCTTGTATAATTAATGTGAATGCATTAGAAATAAGTAAGTAAATGAGAATGCCAAGCCAGTGTATTAAATTCAGTTTTCTCCTCCCCCACATCTCCATGCAAATTGTCTCCCAATGTCCTTGTTAATCCACCCCTGCCCTGGTTTTGACCTTGTCTTAGATATATCTGCATACAGCATGGCACCAAAGGACTGTTCCTTTGAAGACACGCCACAGCAATCCAGGATCTTATCCAAATTTGCAGCAGTGGATGCTGTTGGGCAGAACACTGAGCTGCTGACTAGGTCTTTAATTTAACCGTTTCCATTAAATGACTTTCCTGGAAATGGATGAAAGGGGCTGCGGACTTGGTACTGTTATATACTCTTATAGATACAGCAAAAAGAAGGGATTTCTTGGTCTCAGTTGTATCACATTTGCCTCAAAAAACTGTTCTATACCCAGAGGTCATTTCGGGGGGGATCGCAGGGGATCGCAGTTCCCCCGGGTGAGGTACGGGGGCGGGGCACATAACGAAGCCCTGCCTCCTGCTTCCGGGAGCCCCGCTTCCGGCCCTCATTCAGCCAGGAGGAGGCAGGAGAAGAGGGAGGGTAAGTTGCTTCCTCCCTGCCTCTCCCCACGCCTGCCTGCCTGGGGCCAGGGAGGGCCTTCACGGGGCTACCTTGCACTCCTGCTAGCCTTGCAGGTCCACCGCCGGGCCCCTCATGGGGCTCGGCAGTGGAGCTGCAAGGCCGGCGGCCGGGACCGTGTGGCCTTATGACACACGTCCGGTGATGTCAGGGGGTGTGGCACATGCTAATGAGTTATGCTAATGAGTTCCCCTAGCTCTTTTTCTACGAAACGACCCCTGTCTATACCTATCTAGTGAGTTTTTATCCCACCCTTCCTCCAAAGAGCTCAGGAAAGCATAGACAGTTCTAACTTTCCCATGCTATGCTCAAAACAATCCAGTGAGTTCGGTAAGGCTGAGATTATGTGACTGGTCCGATGCTTTTTAACTTGTTTATTAATGATTTGGAGTTGGGAGTAAGCAGTGAAGTGGCTACATTTGCAGATGACACAAAGTTGTTCAGGGTGGTGAGAACCAGGGAGGATTGTGAGGCACTCCAAAGGGATCTGTCGAGGATGGCTGAGTGGGTGTCACCGTGGCAAATGGGGTGCAATGTGGCCAAGTGCAAAGTGATGCACATTGGAGCCAAAAATCCTAACTATAAACTGGCAGAGACTGACCAAGAGAGAGATCTTGGAGTCGTAGTAGATAACTCAATGAAAATGTCTAGACAGTGTGCAACTGCAATAAAAAAGGCCAACGCTATGCTGGGGATTATTAGGAAGGGAACTGAAAACAAATCAGCCAGAATCATAATGCCCCTGTATAAATCAATGGTGCGACCTCATTTGGAGTACTGTGTACAGTTCTGGTCACCACACCTCAAAAAGGATATTATAGCATTGGGAAAACGGCAACTAGAACGATAAAAGGGTTGGAACACTTTCCCTATGAAGGAAGGTTAAAATGCTCTTTAGCTTGGAGAAACGACAGCTGAGGGGTGACATGATCAAGGTCTATAAGATTATGCATGGGATAGAGCAGGTTGAGAAAGAAGTACTTTTCTCCCTTTCTCACAATACAAGAACTCGTGGGCACTCAACGAAATTGGGTTAGAACCAATAAAACGAAGTACTTATTAACACATGGAATTCACGGAGGTGGCGGCGGCTACAAGCATGGACAGCTTCAAGAAGGAATTAGATAAGCATATGGAGCAGAAGTCCATCGGTGGCTAGGTATCGATAGGAACTCTCAGGTTGGGGCAAGTGATGCTCTGTATTCTTGTTGCTTGGGGGGGCAACAGTGGGAGGGCTTCTAATGTCCTGGCCCCACTGCTGGACCACCTGATGGCACCTGGTATTTTTGGCCACTGTGTGACAGAGTGTTGGACTAGATGGGCCATTGGCCTGATCCAACATTGGCTTCTCTTATGTTCTTATGTCATCCAGTTAGATGGGGATTTGAATCTGAAATTTCCAGAATGTAACCTGAAATTCCAGTAACCACACAACACGGTTTTCTATATTGCTAAGCAAAGTAAGTTAAGCAGGCCCAGTTCTCTTGTTCATGCAGCACACCTCTACATTACTGCTCAGCTAAACTGGAGGGGGGGAGCTCACTTATCCATGCATACAGTGCCTAAGACCTCTGTCAGGCTCAGGGCACTCCAGAGAGTACCCAGGGGAGCCTGTCTACCCAGAATGGGGGGAACATAGGAAACTCCCTAGATCCCAGCCTAATACAGGGGGATCTAGAGAGAACCCAGGGGAGCCTACACACCCAGGAAGGGGAGGGTATAGAAGGCACCCTAGATCCCGACCCAATACAGGGGGAAGGGGATGGGGGACAAACAATTGGCAGAGCCCGACCACGAAGGAGAGAGTTACGTGGGAAGGGGCTACGGAACGGGGAATCAACAGGAAAATCAGGTGTCCTACAATTGGCTTTGAAGCAACGTGGGTCAAAAGTTCAGACACCTAATAAAAAAATGTTGCTGACAGCCGGGGAGGAACGGATTGAGGTGAACGGTGTACCAGGGTCAGCTGTGCTGTAACACTACCTGGAAAGTTCACCTCAATAAAAGCAGAGGAAGAGACACATGAAGGTCTCAGGTCTGATTCTGAGGCTGTTCAAAGGCAACTATGCTTTATTACTCTGGCTGCTGAGAGCCGCGATACTTCAAACACAGACCCGGTGACTGCGGAAACTCGACAACCTCGCTGCAATGTGTTCGCAAAGTAGGATTATCACACACAGTAGCTAGGACTGGGGTTCCAGAACCAAAAAAGCATTTGTGGAAGTATATCTCTCTATATAAAAGAAAGACCCCTCACCATAAAATCAACACCCAGGCCAAACCCCTGGACCTATAAACACAACATTTGGGGAGAGCACCCCTACCATGACGTAGATGCTAAGAAGGGATTTTTTAGAAATTTGACCCCTAAGGGGATCAAAAGGGGTAAAACATGCTCCCCCCATTACTTCCTATGTGGCTGCCCGGCTGCTGCCTCCTTGCACCTCCCACTCTCTGATTGGTCAGCTGCACAGCTCAGTGTTCTGAGGTTAAAAAAAACACAACAGTGACAGGAGACTACAGAGCTAATGACAGTTGAAGAAATCAGGAACGGCCAGCCACCTGTGAGGTGCATCAATGCTGCTGGCACATCCTCTCCAATGGCTTCAAACATGCTCCCCCCACCTCATAAACTGACAGGTGGCTGTCTGGCAGGTGCAGCAGTGGGTGCAGGGTAGTTAAAGTCATCAGGGAACCTGCCCCAGCAGTAATGCCTCAGCGATTGTGCAGGCCCAGCCTCCACAATGGCTTGCAATACCTCTCCCCTCCCCCTCCTACACCACACAGGTGGTTGTCTGTCAGGTGCAGGAGCACGGGCAGAGAATTGAAAGCCATCAGGGAGGCTGCCCAAGCAGCATCGCCTTAGCAATCCTGCTGGCCCAGCCTCCCTGATGCCATCAGACACGCTACCCCTCCTACACCTGAAAGACAACCGCCTGTCAAGGGTTGGAAGGTGTGGAGTCCTTACAGCCATTGGGGAGGCTTGCTCAGCAGCACTGCCTTAGCACTGCTGCTGGCCCAGCCTCTCCAATGGCTTTAGCCACACTCCCACCCACTATGGAATAGTTATGTCTCACGTCTTAAATGTAACATAAATGAGAGGCAATTTTATTTAAAAAGGGGGGGGTATGCCCCCCCCCCCAATTTAATGCCCAGGCCAAACCCCTGCCCCAAGAAACCCAAAATATGGGGAAAATGTGTTCCATGTGCCTAGCAGGCTGCTGCCTCCTTACCCGCCCCTCCCCCCCATTGGTCAACCGTGTAGCTCAGAGTTCTGAGGTAAAAAACCTGCCTGCTTGCACCCACCTGCTTCTGATTGCTCAGCTGTGGATCTCAATGTTCTGAGGTAAAAACACATCCCTTCATGCCTGGCCTCAGTAGTGAGGACCCTACCAGAACTAACAGCCAGGATCTACCCTAATATTGCCAGTATCACGGGGGAAAGTCCATGGACAGCCTGTACAAGCGTGCCATTCTGACACCCAAGAACGACAGGGCTACCATCATTAATGAAGCTCTACTAACTCCTTCAAGGAGGCAGAAATGGAGCAAAAATCTGTGGACTCAGTGGTGCAAACGGATGATATGGTCCACTACCCTGTAGAGTTCCTCAACACCCTCAACCCTCCTGGCTTCCCAGCCCACAAGCTTCTCCTCAAAGTGGGGGCTCCGGTGATGCTGCTGTGGAACCTCAACCCACCCAAACTCTGCAATGGCACCAGGCTGCAACTGAAGGCCCTGCACAGGAACATCATCAAGGCCACACTGCTCACTGGCAGTGCTAGGGGAGAGTCGGTGTTCATACCACACATACCACTCATACCATCAGAAAACCACTAAGTTCAAGAGGCTGCAGTTCCCCCTCAAGGTCTGCTTTGCTATGACCATCAACAAGTCCCAAGGCCAGACACTTAGGGTGGCAGGAACTGATTTAAGAGATGACTGCTTCTCACATGGACAGTTCTATGTGGCCTGCTCCAGAGTGAGCTCATCAAGCAGCCTGGTGATCCTAGCACCTGAGGGCACAACCACCAATGTGGTCTACAGAGAGGTCCTTCAGCAGAGAAAAAAAAACAGTGTGTATGTCTCACTTCATTTTTTAAACCACAGTCTTCTCCATTAGAATTCCTACAACAAATGTTACATTTCAAACTTCACATCATCAGTATTATAACTGGATTTATGGAACTTAAATACTGTAGCAAAGCACAGATATCAGGC